CATCCGGTCCTGCAGCATCTGTGCTGGTCCAGTTGACTGCCATCTTCCTCGGCACAAGCATCGAAGGCGTTGGAAAGGGAGGGGGGATGAGTGAGTGCTTATCAGTGTAAGTGTGTGTGTGTGCGTGTCCATAGTTTAGCTGAGACAGTGTCCTTCGGCCTATCAGGCTAAGTAAACAGTCCTCCAGCCAATCCAGGTGTCCTTGCATGGGATGGGAAGAACAGCCATAACACAGTCGTTATCAGGGAGTTGTTGTTCAGCTCCAGCCTTGGGCCTGCAGCTGGCGCCGTGATGGGGTCCACAATCTCAATGTTGATTTTGTAAATTTCCATGCGAGCAGCCCAGGAGAATTTTCAGGCTGCCCTAACACTCCCACACTGGTCTCTCGATCTCCCGTTGGAGAGCCGCGAGCCTCCCCATGATGGTATCAAACTTCTGTTCCATGGTGTTGTCGTTCTTTTGATTCTGAGACCTCACAGCTGCAGTGATCCGTTCCGTGATGTCGTCCAACTGTCGCTCAAGGGTCAATGTATAATTAATAACCATGATTAGTTTATTTTAAAACACACAGAACTATGTTGAATAGTTTGTCTACATCTTTAATAGATGTTAAATGTTTCTATAATTGATGAAAAATTTGATATTTTCTAGATATCTTATTCTGCCTGTGAAACAAAATTTACCTCCATCCTAAAGGCTCTGTAGGAGAGGTGAGTGTTTGAACTAAACATAGGGCAGTACTTAAGGGGTTTAAGTACATTTAAGCTCTACTAAATTGCATTGCAAATGTTAATAAAGCTGTCTCTCTCCCTCTCCTCTATTTATTAAATATGAAAAAAAAGATAAAATTGTATGATTGCCCTTGAGACAGGATGAGTGCTGCGGGGAACCGGTTAAGAACAAATCAACATATCATGCATGTTAAAAAGGGACGGCAACTCACAGAAAAGTGGAGTGGGCACACTAAACTGTTGGGTCAGGTTACCAGGCTCAGTCCCTCTGGACTTGGGGACAAGGTGCAGAATCCATTCGTAAATTTTGGGGATTACCTCTTGGGGACTCCCTTCGTTGCCACACATAAAAGTCTCCAGCATCCTCAGACAGGGATAACTGCTCAGGTGATCTCCTAGGGTTAGGAGTTTGCTGGAGCTCCCCTCGCCTTGTCTATTAACCTGCCTTTTCTGTTCTGGATCATGGAATGGGGCCACTGTATACACAGGACCAGAGTCAGCAGGGACATGGACAATACAATATGGTGTAGCACCCCAAAAATCTTTGATTTTATTCCGGCCGCGAATGCTATGATCTCTCAAATACACTAACTGATGCAATGGCCCAGTCAGCTTCAGGCCGGGCGGCTAACTGAGCTTCGGGCCGGGCGGCTAACTGAGCTTCGGGCCGGGCGGCTAACTGAGCTTC